GCTCGGGCCGCGCTCCGCACCCGCGCTCGGCGGCGCGGCGCCGGCAGCCCCCGCCCGCCTACCCCGGCGACGGGCGCCGCGGGCTCTAGACGGGGATTTTTTCGTTTTTCCTCGCTTTTTTTGGGCAAAGCCGGAGCGAGCGGCGGCTCTCTCCCTTCCCTTCCCCTCTACCTTTATTTTTTCCTTTTTTCTTTCTTTTTACCCGTTTTAATTTTTCTTTTTTAAATTCGGCTTTTCTTTACGTTTTCTCGCAGCGGGCGGAGGCGCGGTCGGCGCATCCCCCCGCGGGAGGCGGCGGGACCCGCGGCCCCAGCGCGGAGACTGGCGCATGCCACAGCCCGCCTGGGCTCCGCTGCCCCCCGCCGCTGCCGCTCGCTGCCGCCGCATCCCGCCTGCCGGCCCCTTCATGCTCGGCGGACGACATGCCCGTTTTGTAGCCGGGGGCCCCTCCTCTCGTCCCGCATGTTCAGGACCAAACGCTCGGTGCTCGTCCGGCGGCTCTGGCGGAGCCGTGCGCCCGGCGGCGAGGAGGAGGAGGAGGCGGCGGCGGGCGAGCCCGGCGCGGCGGCGGCGGTGGCCGAGCCCCGGGCGCACTTGGGCGGGGGGCGCGGGTGCTGCCCGGGCAAGGCGAGCCGCGGCGGGCGGGCAGCGGCGGGCGCGGAGGCGGAACTGAAGGCGCTGACCCACGCCGTGCTGAAGCGGCTGAAGGAGCGGCAGCTGGAGGGGCTGCTGCACGCCGTGGAGTCCCGCGGCGGGGCGCGGACCCCCTGCCTGCTGCTGCCCGCCAARGCCGACTCGCGGCTGGGACAGCACTGGTACCCGCTGCCCGTGCTGCTCTGCAAGGTGTTCCGCTGGCCCGACCTCCGCCACTGCTCCGAAGTGAAGCGGTTATGTTGCTGTGAATCCTACGGCAAGGCTCACTCCGAGCTCGTCTGCTGCAACCCGCACCACCTCAGCCGGCTCTGCGAGCTAGGTACGGCGGCGGGGATGGCCGGGCATGGAGGGGTGCAGGGGATGGAGGGGTGCGGGGAATGGAGGAGGACAGGGGCTGGAGAAGGTGCCGGGCATGGAGAGGGTGCAGGGGATGGAGGGGGACAGGGGATAGAGAAGGTGCAGGGAATGGAGGGGTGCAGGGGATAGAGAAGGTGCCGGGNAGAAGGTTCAGGGGATGGAGGGGGTGCAGGGAATGGAGGGGTGCAGGGGATAGAGAAGGTGCAGGGGATGGAGGGGTGCAGGGGATGGAGGGGGACAGGGGATAGAGAAGGTGCAGGGAATGGAGGGGTGCAGCGGATAGAGAAGGTTCAGGGGATGGAGCGGGGCAGGGGCTAGAGGGGATGCAGCGATATAGGGGACAGAGGGAGTGCGGCGGTGGTGGGGTTAGAGGTGTGTAGCGGATGGGGGGATGCAGGAATATAGGGGAATGGAGGGCATACAAGGTTGCCGGGGATTCAGGGGTTCGGAGGTTAGAGTTGTGCAGAGGTTGGAGGGTACGCAAGAGATGGAGGGGTTCCAGGGGATGTACGGAATACAGGGATATGGGGAATGGCGGGGATAGGGGTGCAGGGAATGGAGAGGATGCAGGGGTGCAGAGGGGCCAGAGGTGTGCGGGGGTTGGAGGAGATGCAGGGGTGCAGGGGCTGGAGGGGATCCAGGGGCCAGGGGAGATGCAGGGGATGCATGTGTGAGAAATACGTGTATGCAGCCCCACTCACCTCCCAGCCCACGAAACTTTTTTCCCTTCTGGTGAAGAAAAAAAACCAAAACAAAACCAGCCSGCAACAAACAACAAAACCCAGAACACGCTCAAAAACTTTCCGTGGCCGTGGTTTATGTACTTTCWTTTTGTATTTAGGGGAGGGGGCGACCCCCCACCTCCGGGACCCCCCTCCTCTCCCCTCCCGGGGGCCCCGGCGCTGCCTCCCCGCCGTCCCCGCGCGGTGCCGGGGGATTAAGGGCCGGGCGGCCCCGGCGCTGCCGTGGCTCCGCCGAGCCAAGGAGGCCCCGATCAGACAGCCCGAGCGGCAGATAGCAGGGAGACTGGCGCCAGACGGCCCCTTTTGTTTATCTGACAGCTAAATATCAAGGCAATCACCGCCTCGCTGCCCTGCCTCCAACCCCCAGAGCTAAGACAAACAGTTTTGCTAAAAGAATGCCACTGTTATCATAAGTTCCTATCTTTTTTCTTTTTTTTTTTTT